CTCACAAACATGAACAGATATCGACGTGATTCCAAAGACATTTGAAAGATACAGAAGTCTAGATATCTCCACAAAAATTTCAGAATTTTTGGCAGCCCAGATTTCGAGATACAAGATAAAGAACACAGACTGCTCCAGAAAACAGCACAGCAGAGATAAGATAAAGCAAACCCATCTGCATTAAGACTTCTTCTAAACTTAAAGTTCAAACCTATGGAATTTGTGGACAGGCCCACAAACTTCCAGCAATCAAACAAACTCCAAATCATCCAAGTTCACAATCATAAACATCTAATCACTAAAGTTCACATAACAAGATAAGACTAGACATGACTCACGAACTAACAGCGTAGTAACTTTAAACAAGGAACCTAACACCTATGGGGCGGTGAACAACCAGCGCTTCTTCTTGTAGATCGGTGGCAGCCCAAGTTGATCACGCAGTTCATCAACTTGCTTCTGGAGACACCTCTCGGCCCTCTGTGATGCACGTAGCTCTCCCTTGACCTCTTCATCTACCCCATGCATGGCATGGACATGTTGCACAGTTGCCTCCAGAGTTGGATCACTTTCTGGTGGTGCCAGGACCTGCCAATTTCCCACATGATCATTGCGAGGGAGGAACCTAAAACGATCCTCCTTCATGGCCTCAAAACGACGACCATGGTAGTAGATGTAGGCGTCCTGCGCTGCATCTTCCATGCCATCCAATGCATGGGCTTGTCTGGCAGTGGCACGATGGACAATCTCCACCTCATGTCCATTCTTTATGTCATTCCAGGCGGTGACAACCAGCTCTACCTTCCAAAAGGTTGCCTCCAAAGGATGCTGGTACTCTGCACAGTGATAGTTGATGGAGGCGTGCAGATCAGGCTAGTAGTCATCCAGCACATGAGTAAGGAGGGTGTGGTAGTAGGCTGTCTCTAGAGCTGGCTTGAAGTAGTATTTGCACTTCCAGCCTATCTCCTCATCCACCATAGGGACAGCTGGGGATGGCACATGCGTAGGTGAAGTAGCTGATGACTCCGTTGGGGTAGCTACAACAGGATAGACAGGTGCAACAGCTGGAGTAGGAGCAGGTGCAGGTGTCGGGGTAGCCATCCACTCCTCATCATCCTCGATCAAGGGTTCCACCTCATCATCAGAGATTATCACAATCTCCTTCTCCGCCTGTGGAGCACGGGGGGTGAACATAGCGCGGTAGCCTGCAGTGCTGAGGCGAGCGGTCTTCGGGTTATGAGACATCTATAGATTTAGAGTAAGATAAAATTAGAATCAACAATTTTATATAATAGAGTAAGGTATGAAAAGCATAAATATTTTAGTAAAATAACAAGAATAAGACAGTAAGCAGGAAACCAGTGGAGCAAAGATGCTAAAACGATCATCTCTATCTAGGCTTGCGTCCTACAGTCAACACGGCTCCGATACCAATTTGTCACACCCAATTTTAAGAATAAAATTGAATGCACTAAACTTATGTATGCCCAGGGATCAGTCACACACATAAGCTGACAAATTATAAAAAGTATCATCACGGTGTATCTTACATCACGATTAATAACATAACATAGTCTTACACAACACAGCGGAAAATAAGAAGATACCTCTCTCGTGGAAGCTCCAACACAGGGACGGTCAACTGGTTGACCACAAGCCTAATAGTCCTCAGGAAACTCCTCATACACGTTGTCATCTGTTACCCATCCAGGATTTTTATCCAAATATAGAAAGTAAACAAGCGTAACTACTTCCCGTACTTAACAAGTTAACATGGGGTTATGACGCTCAAAAAGGATGACACCGGTTTACTGCAGTTAGCACTTTTAGTAAGTCAAGATTTTATTATCAAGTATTATCAAGTTATGCTTAAGCTCCCTTTTCAACCCACATAATCATATATCAGAACCAATTGAGTCTTGAAACATCGTCATAATATCATCATAGTCATCATGTATAAACAACATTATAAGTAGCCATTTATTCTGTGAGTTTTTCGAGCCGTTCGTGACGATGAGCACGGCTGTTATAACAGTTTGTAACCCTCTGCAGAGGTGGTGCACATTCACCGCGAGTCGTGATTCCTATATGCCCGGGTTAATTACTCCCATATCACTGCCAAGGTGAGCGGGCAGGGTACACTATGTAGCCATTTCATAGGTTTCTCTAACAAGTTAGGGGCGCTAGGTTTCCTCGGCAGGCAGATGTAGGAACCCCCCCTTTCCTATGGCACATATCCATCGTGGCTATACACATAGGAACAGAGGCAGTCCTATACCCAACGTGGCAAGCCCCTTTTGCGCCATAAAGATAACCTCTAACAAGCTAGAAAATGTCCTATTACTGAGATAAAATCAGAGCCATATGACCCTCACGGTTGCACTATCAGTCCCAGCTTTTGCCGACAGATAAGTCCTTATGGAGGGCCGAGAACATCATGATCAAAAGTCATTTGTTCGTTCGCCCTATAATTCAGTTGTTTCAACGCAAATTTTACCTTTTCATTCCATAGAACCATTATTCATTATGTATATCATGTACATTTACTTTGAGCGCTAGCAAACTACCCATATGCATATAACCCATAGGAGACAAGGAACAGGATAATCAATCACTAGGATGTCCTTATGGGTATCAAAATTAGACACATGCAAATGAGTAATTAATAAATGGTGAATAGGCATCAAGGTAGATCCCATGCTATACTTGCCTTGGTTAGCAAACTCCTGCTGGTCCTGCTGGTCGTCAAAGAACTCTTGGTCTCCAACGTTCTCCTCACCGTCTGAACACGATCAACACGGCAACATACAACATTCCTGGAACATTCATGCAAAGCAAAAAATCCTATGGTTAGAACAGTACACCAACAGTATAGAAAATAAGATAAAATGTTTATGAAAAGAATCTACGTCTCGCTACGATCATGTCAACGCGAAGTTCACGGAAATCGGAGCTAAAACGCGAAAGTTATGAATTAAACGGGGTTTCCTATAGCAATTTATTTAATTAAACCTAACCATGAAATTTAAAAGCTGCCAACATGATTAACAGTGGTACTAACACGTAGATTATGCAATTACAAAACTAACGCGATTTGAACGGGTCGATTCGGAGTTAAAACGAAGATTTTATGAGCAAAACAGTGCAATGGCATTTCTGTAAATACTAAAAATGTATTTTGGACTAAAACAGTATATTTTATGTTTTCAAAAGGAGAAAGCGTACTCAGGAAATGTGCTATGGACGGTGGGTTCTATTTGGCCGAACTTGAGGGACTCTTTTAGCAAAATCACCCACAAAGGGGTATCGGCTTATGTGAGCCGTTGGATCAAGAACGATCGGCTCAGATTAGAAATGAGAGGGAGAGAAAGGGAGGTGGCCGGCGAGGAACAGTGCCGGCGCGGCGGCACACCATGGCCGGCGGTAAGGACTCGCCGGAGCGATCGGCACGGGGGCTACGGGTCACGGATTGCGCATCCGAGAGCACCGGGGGAGAGGGGGGGGTTCACGCGACCTTGGCTAGGCCGAGAACGGGGCCGGCGATGCGGTGCTCCCGGGCGTACGCGGCTAGAGCCCTAGAGGCCAAGATTTGCGAAAGTAAATGCATGGGGAGAAGGAGGAGAAGGTGACGAAGCTCACCGCGGTGACAAACGCAGACGAAGGCGGCTTGGGGATGGAGTTTTCCGAGTGGCAGATCCCGGCGTTTCTTCGGTGCGGCGGTTGCTTCTTTCGTGAGCTCGGTGAGTGCGAAAAAGGAGCGGGGAGGCAGCAGGGAGGACGGCGGGGGTCACGGCTCCGTTTTAAAGAGGTCGAGCGCGGGGGGCGCTCCCACGACGCGCGACGTGGGCGCGGAGCGACGGTTGCGGCTGTCGCGCGCGGTGCGGGAGGTTGGGGGACGGCGCTGACACGCGGGCCCGAGCCGTCAGCTGCAGGGAGAGAGAGGGGCGCGGCAACGGCTGATCCGATCAAGTTGGGCCGGCCCAAGAGAAAAACAGGAGGAGGGGAAAGGAGCGAGGCGTGCGGCTGGGCTGGTGGGCTGGCGCGGAGGAAAAGACCAGCGGGCCGAAATGAAGAAGGGGAGGAGGAGAAAATGAATTTCTTTTTTTTTCCAAATCAAATTTCTAAATTCATTTTCAAAGGGTTTTTGAATCATTTTGGCATTTAGGTCAAACCAGACATCACAATAAATTAAATGCAGCAACATAAATACATCAAAAGGTTTCTAACCTTATATTTGATTTTAATTTCCCAAAAATTATTAATTTCCTATATTTGAATGCACACTTAATAACATAATTGAATCAAATTTACTTATTTTAAAAGAATAAATTTTTTTTGGGTGTTACAGATAGTGAGATTTAGAAACACTCGTGGATATGTTTCTGACTGCTAAATGCTCGCTCACGATCACGCTTGCTCAATCTTTTCCGCGCGTATATAAAAAAAACTAAAAGCAGTATACTCTCTAACCTGGATATACTGCAGCGAAGAAGTCCAAGAATTTCGTACACACACAGAAATTGAAAAGGCTTCCAATGAAAAATCCATGGAAGATTCGAGATGTTAATTGCTGCTGTCGAAACGGGCTTTGGCCAAATGTGGTTGGATCAGAACCCGGCCTTAAAAGTGTCCTTACCAAGCACGATTGGGCCGATCAGACAAACAGACTTTTTTATTTTCTTGTCTTATCTTTCTCGTCTTTCTTCTTCCACAGTCTTTTTGTCCCAAAGAAAGAAAGAGTGTTCAATAACGCGCCGTGGCATTATCGTTTTCCTTTCCTTTGCCCCTGCTCCAAGCTTTGTCTTTCTTCCTCTTCTTCCCCGGCACGGCCGGAGCTCGCCTTTCTTCTCAAGAAAACGCTCGATATAAATTCACACTAGACCACCCCGTTCGTCGCCATCATTGCAGCAACATCTTTTCTTAGCTCTAGTTTCTTAGCCTCTCGTCCCTGATCTACGTACAGAGATCAAGCAACAAGCTAGCCCACCCTTCCATCACCGATGGAGAAGGACGGCGCGCTGAAGCCGGTGGCGGCGGCGGAGGCCACCGCAGCGAAGCCGGAGACGTTGACGGGGACCCATCAGCCGACGTGGGCACAAGCGCAGTGGACCAGCATCAAGAGCAAGGCCCGCGGCGCCAGCGAATACGCCATGCTGAGGACCCGCCAGGGCATCTCCATGTTCGGGGAGCCCAAGCTCGGGTCTTTGGTCAAGCCCAAGGGAGCATCAGCTAAGGATCCAGTGGATCCATGCATGCATGTGTTCTTGATTGATGCCACGGGCGGCAGCAAGCAAGTGTGAACTCTGTTCTTATTTATTTGTTAGTTGTTATTAGTAGGTGGTCTGTCTCTCTGCATTGCATTGGTAGATGTAATTTTGGCTCTGGCGTGCTCAGATCTGCTGGGTCGATGAGTCATGCGGTTTTAATGTTTTATAATGGTTTTTTACTGTCACTGATAGTAGAAGTGAATTTTACCGTAAGGTCCAAGTTTTTCAATCTTTGTCTGATGCTGTGATCGTTACCCTGGTTGATTGGATTGGAAGTTCCATTGGAGCTCTGTCGATTCATGCTGACTCTCGAGGGAACTATCCAAGGCTCATCTTGCTGAACTAAAAAAATCATGGCTCACAAGTTTCGTCAAATTTCGTGTAGGCATATCAGTAATCTGCTGTAACAGTATGATTTCGTGTAGACCTAGGCATATCAGTAATCTGCTGTAACAGTATGACAGAACATAACGAGAACCCAGACAACGCGTCAAAGACAGGAATTACACGCGCACGATCAAATCCGAGACCATTTTGAAATCGAGCATATGATTTCAGTGTTCATGAAGTTTGTCAGGGATTAAATACATCACTGAGCTGAGAAACAAATAATGAATGGCGATGTGTCAGTGGGGTGATCAGCCTATGCAAATCTAAACCAACAGGAGGTGTTGCCTTTCACCCCCAACAATTTCTAACTCCTACACTAAATTATTAGCACATTGTTAGCGGGGAACATTCACTAGGCCTATTAGCTGTCAGGTTGTTAAATATGTGAGCTACTACAACAAACAAGGCCCACCAACACAAGCAGCTGGAGATTTGCCTCGAGCTGCGGCCAGGAACTCGAAAACTAGAACATGTCAATAATGGTTAAATTTCTTTCTGTGGCGGCTGTAATCCGAGACGTATCTGAATGTCTGCCCACAGTCAGGAGCTGAGCACTTATATGGCCGCTCTCCTGTGTGCACCCTGATATGTTCAGTCTGAGCCCATAGCCACTTGAAAGTCATTTCACATCCTTCCCAGGGGCATTTAAATGGCCTCATCTCGCTGTGGACACACTGATGACGCTTCAAGTATTTGTGTGAGCTGAAACGCTTGCCACATGACTCGTCAGTGCAAATATTGCGCTTGTGGGCATTAAGTTCAGCCCTAGTCTCAAATGTCATATCACACAGATCAATATCACACTGAAATGATCCCACTGTTTTTGTCCTCTTACCCCTTTTAGCAGAAGAAGCTTCAGCTGTCCTGCTCCATTCCGACTCTTCAACTACCGCAGGTTTAGTCCTTGGCCTCAAGCTCTCACAGGGAGAGCGGACGAAACTCGAATGACTTTGTGAACTATCAGTATTTGACTGAGAATCCCTCTTCCTTTTGTGTTTGCGTCTAACATAGCATATGATATCTGTTCTATTTGAGCTCCCGATGCATCTAGACACAACATCTGACAAATCAACTTGTTTATCATCTTTTGCTGCTCCCAAAGTTGTGTCTGTTTCCACCACCTCTACAGCTCTGACATCTGTAACATCATCTGCAGAGGGCTCATTGCTAGCCAGTGTCATTAGTGTCAAGGAAGCTTTGCCAACCTCATCTTTACCAGGAGCATCTGTTGCCTTGGACTCCTCAGCCAGAGCTCCAAGTAAAATATCGAAAGTATCTGATCCAGTGTCGACAGATTTTCCCTCATGTCCACGGACTGCAGCCATGGAAGCAACTTGGGCGTCCTCTAAGATGTAGAAATCTATATGCGGAGATTCATCATGCTTTAAGTTAGCAGGATTATTGCTCTGCTGCTCAATGGCCTTGACAGAAGAATGGCTGCCATCAACCTGCGGCTCATCACTCATCAAATCAGGTGGAACTGACAAAGGCTGAGTTGAAGCAGGAACATCAGCTGAACCAAGGCAGCCGAAGATTAAACTGCATTGTCTATCAGCGCTGGGTATCTCATTAAAGCTTGAATTTAGTTTCACTGGACCAGTACCCAGATCATGAGTCTCCAATTGATTATCTATTGCAGATTTAATAGTTTTTGTTCCAGTATTAGAACAGTAGGATGTCTTAGCACAGCACTCCTCATTTTCAAGGGATGCTGACACAGTGTCCCCACGCTTTCCTTCTGATACAGCCAAACCTTCTATCAGGTGTGAATCAACTGCCGTCATGTTGGGATTGTTGCGAAGCCCCATCTTCTCTTGATCTTGTTGAACTTGCAAACATTCATCTCTGCTCCGTAAAGTAACATCCTGAGATTCTAAGCAGTCATTGCTTACACAGTTTATGCTTCCTTCCACAGAGGTACTTTCATCATTAAGGAAATGTTGAACAGAAAAGGCTGGCGAACTGCTCAACTCAGTTGACTGTATACATCCTTGATATCTAGTTACTTCAACTGGTGAGGTAAGTGGAGGCGAATCCAGGGAACCTGATGAACAAATGGAGTCATTACACGTGCTAACACTAACTGGACCCTCACGGACTTGATGCATCATAGGATATTCAGCAACAGCAATAGGAATATTAACAAGGCAATGTCTTCCATGGTCATTCTCCTTGGAGCATGAAGGCTTATCACAATCTTGCAGTCCACCTGGTTGCTCAAGGCCACTTTGTCGATAAGTATGCTGTCTACTGTCATCCTCACAGACATTTCCATTAGTGACTATCCCTGTCTTCACTCCAGGCTTAAGTTCCTCAGGAGTTGCTGTTGCACTAGAACTCCTAGTAATACCAATAACTGTGTATGGAGTTCGTGCTCTTTTGCAAAGCCACTTAAGATTAGGAACAACCGAAACAGGCGAAGGGCAGGAAAACAGTCCCCCAAATGACAAAGGAGATTGTTCTTGATTTTTGGATTTCTCTTTCCTGAGTTTGGCAGAATATTTCAGGTTTAGACCCATCTGTGACGTCCAGTCTCTTCCATCTTCCTCATGCCCCTCGTCATCAATTGAAATGTTGATTAGATGTAAATCAGACTTGGATGCATTTGCAAGTGGAATGTCTGTACAATCAAATTGGAACTCAATTTCCTCGGCTATTGATATTGCAAGCGCTTTTAGTTTGACAAAGTCTGCAGAAATCAAATAGAAATACCTTAAGATCAGTGGAAACCTCAGGTGATACGGAAAGTAAAACAAAAGATAAGCATATTTGATTTAAATCATGATTTAGAACAATGATTTCAATTGCTATTTTCAGGAGTAGGCCCAACTAGGGATTATCAACATGCATCTGTGAAAGGCACCTTAATGCTCTGATGCAATTCTAAAATACAATGGTATTCCCTCTGTCCCGAACTGTATGCCATTTTAGCTTTTTGAGTAACATATTTCACTTAAACATGAATATAACAGTATAAACCCAGTGATTGTAAGCTAACAGGTCAATATTTCTTTTGGGGCAACGGAAATAAGATGGAGCTATAATTATTAGATACAGTGAAAATATGTAATCTGTCAATTATAATACAGTGAATTGAGTTCAGCTGCCTAACATCAGCGACACTGAGCCAAATTAAGAGTTCAATAATCAAGTTGTCTATGAACAAGTCCATGTTGTTCCATCTTTCTTGTATTTCCTTTGTTGGTTTTCGCTGATTCGCACTAGAAAGAAGGTAAGTTGGTCTCATCCACAAAGCCAAAAGGGCACATTAGTTTCCACAGTCCAGTTTCATGCATAAAGTATAGTTTTTCATTAAAAACGTAATCTATTATTGATACCTAAAGGTATGTTCCAAAGATAGAATGTGTGGGTTAGAATGGCCTGCATATAAAAAAACAAAATGTTTGCATATAAACATGACCAACATGTCTAGTGAAAAGGCTAGCAGCTAATTACTTATTTTGTATCAAGTATGCAGGATCACAAGAGCATCCACCAGCAGTCAAATAGAGTATGAAGACGATAGAAGTTTCTTTATAACCTACCTGAGTGGCAAATAATGAGAGCATGGACACCCCCTTTGCCCTCAAGTAACTTTTCAATCTCAAGGGCATGCTGCAGGCAAAAGATCCAGGGCCGTGCAAATGTACAACTTGTATTCCAGTTAATAGTGCCATCAGAACTTTCTGCAGTTTGCGCATCACTGTCATATTTGCCTGCTTGTTCACTTACTTCTGGGCCAAGACTGTTCTCAGGAATCTTATTCTCAGATTTTTCCCTGTCACTACATGAATGGAGAATATTTTCACTTCTGCAAGAATGTGAAATATCGCTATGTTGTAGCACATGCCCATTAGGTTCATTCTCCCTTAAACGAACATCTTTATGTGAATTTACATTCTGATGACTGATGTTAGCCTGCCCCAAAGGAGTAGCCAGACATTGCTGTTCCGCAGGCCAGGATGGTCTATTGGGAACAAATGAACATCCTGATACATATGCAAAAGCATGTGTCAAGGTTCCATAAGAATCTTCATATACAAGAAATACTACAGATCAATAAATGGAAATCAGTAAATTCTAGAATGATTTTAAAAAAGGCTGCAGCACAGGGTTCCACCATTACATCAGAAAAGGCACAGTTTTTATCAAGTAGCAAGGTTAAGACAGTCAACCCTTGCGTATAAAATCAGGTTAAAAATTTACAATGTATATGGTAAGATAAGAAATGCCATTGTTAATGAGCTTAGTGATAAACTATTTCTGAAAATAGCCTATTCTGATTGTTCAAAAAACATGCCTGCAGATCACATCACTCTTCACCAAACATTTATTGCAGCCAGAAACTCTCATCCACAAGCACTTCATAATGGCCAATGAACCAGCCATCATGAGTTCATGACCATCACCATACATGTTCAATAAAAAAAATAGTTTAGATTCGGGTGTCCAAAAACAAAAGGTTCTCTCCCAACCATAACTTTTCTCTAAATTAGACAAAAAGAGCATTTGCAAATTTGCCCTAATATGAAGGGCTATTGTGAAACTGACATTATAAAAGGCACAATTGCAAATTTGCTATTAAAAATCTGTTGGACCCAACATAGATTGGACTAACACCGATCAGCTGGAGGTTTTTGCGTAAACTACAATAGGAGCACCCCTTGCCAATTTTAGTAAACTTGCAGTCCAGCATCACACTGTTCCTTCCTAAACCATCAAGACTATCACAAAACAAAAGCACACATATTACTAACATGATAATAGTATAATTTGAAGGTTCCTGATGATGCGCAAGTTCACCCTCCACCTATTGCTACTGCTTCACGGCGATGCGCAAGTTCAAGATGTGGCCACCCATCCAACAAAATAGCCCGAGTCACCCATCCCTACCCATTCGTCTGTCCCTATTGCTCCACCCATCCCTGCTCAAGACGCGGCAACGGAGCGGCGCCACTACAAACAGGATGGACCCAAGCCACAACTGCACCTCCTTGCTGCAACCCTCTCTGTTGCGATGTAGAGAGGATGAAGGGATTTGAGGATATAGCCATCTAGGGTTCTTGGGTTGTGAATAGTGGAACGAGTTCAATAAAGGAAAGAGTCAGCCATACAGGCTATGGCCAAAAATCAAAATAGCCTTTCCATGTAGCATGAATTATATTTTTCCCTTGGTTTCCAAAAGAAAGTGTCAAACAGAAGAAACAAAGGGCCGATTTCAGTGGCAAATTTGTAATTTGTAGTTTAAAAATCAAATCCAAGGTTGGGGCTTAATGTAGCACAAATTTGCTATTTGTAAAACAAAAAATCAAGAAAAATGGCATGCATCAATGAAATTTGTTGGAAATAATCCTGTGTCTAGGTTCATAGCCTTTACTTTAGCTAAATTTCAGCATCAAGTAATAGGCTGTTTATTTGGGTAATATTCTGCATTAATTAGGAGGCTATCACAGCCACAAATGTAGCTCTCAGCACTGTATAAAGCTAGGCGGAAAACCAGAAAAGGCTAAGTCATTCCAGGATTTCCAGCCACCAAGCCTAAGTCATTCCAGCTACAAAACCCACTGTGTTTGTTTGCGTGTGAGTCCCTGGTGATATGTTTAGGGGCTATTTGCCTTTCAAAATTTCCATCACAATATTGTAAGACATAATCTGCTGCTCCCAAATTCTCTCTTTGCTACAGACTAGGATTAGATTTTGGTCAGCATGGTTGTCCCCTCCCTAGTTCTGTAGCTTGTAAGGCAATAGGCCATCTAGTACTTGTAGTTGGTAGAAGTACATCAACCATGTCTTGGTAGTGGGCTGATCTAAGCCAATGTACTAGTAGTACTTAAGAGTAGGTAGTTGGTATACACCATACCTCTCTGTACCTGATAGAGGTACTAGCTCATGTATACATACTATGCCAATGCAAAGAGGAAAGGCAGTTCAGTTTGCCACATTCAGAGTTTCAGAGCTGCTGCTGCAGCTCGAGCAGTGTGTGTGTGTGTGCTGTGCTCACCTCTTCTTCTACCTCTAGCCATAGTGAGTGTGTGGGTGTGCTGGTAAGCTAATTGCTTACCTGTGCAGGGCAGCAAGGGACCAACAACTGGTATCAGAGCACAAGGTGCTCGGGCTGTGCAAGGCGTTCTACGAGCTCCGGCAGGCCCCGCGGGCGTGGAACGCCAAGCTCGACGCCACTTTGGGCGAGCTCGGGTTCACCCGCTGCGCTACGGAGCACGCGTTCTACACGCGGCGACAGGGGAAGGAGGAGCTCGTCGTCGGCGTGTACGTGGATGACTTAATCGTCACCAGAGCGCGAGCAGAGGACATCGACAGTTTCAAGCGCGAGATGGCGGCTCGTTTCAAGATGAGCGATCTCGGAGCGCTCTCCTACTACCTCGGCATCGAGGTGAGGCAGGGGAAGCAGAGCATCTCCCTGGATCAGCGCGCCTACGCGGAGAAGCTGCTGGAGCGCGGCGGCATGGCGGAGTGCAAGCCGTGCGCGACTCCGATGGAAGAGCGGCTGAAGCTGTCCAAGCATAGCACGGCGGCGAAGGTGGACGCGACGCGCTACCGGAGCATCGTCTGCGGGCTGCGCTACCTCACGCACACTCAGCCGGACATCGCATTCGCGGTCGGGTACGTCAGCCGCTTCATGGAGGACCCGCGCGAAGATCACTGGATAGCGGTGAAGAGGCTGTTGCGCTACCTCAAGGGGACGCTCGATCAAGCGATCATCTTCCCCAAGCTCGGCGGCAAGGGTGGGTTGCGCCTCACGGTCTTCATTGAAGCACCCCCCAAAACAGAGAAAGGTGAGCTGGAGCTCACTGTCTTCAGCGATGCGGACATGGCGGGTGACATTGATGGGCGATGGAGCACCTCCGGCGTGCTCATCTTCCTTGGAGCGGCCCCCATTGCTTGGCAGTCGCTGAAGCAAAAGATCGTGGCGCTGTCGACGTGTGAGGCGGAGTACGTCGCAGCGGCCACGTCGGCGTGCCAGGCTGTCTGGCTGCGCCGGCTGCTGGGCGAGCTGACCGGCGAGGAAGCTCACCCGCCAACTCTGATGGTGGACAACCAGCCCGCCATCACCCTCGCCAAGAACCCTGTCCTCCACGACCAGAGCAAGCACATTGACATCAAGTTCCATTTCCTCCGGGACTGCGTCGATGGAGGGCAGATTGTCATCGAGTTTGTCGAGACCGGCAGACAGCTCGCTGACATCCTCACCAAGTCACTCGGACGCCTGCGGTTCATGGAGCTGAGGAAGATGATTGGCATGGATGAGGTCAAGGCTTCGGGTTGGCAGCAGGATTAGGGGAAGAATTGTAAAACATAATCTGCTGCTCCCAAATTCTCTCTTTGCTGCAGATTAGGATTAGATTTTGGTCAGCATGGCTGTCCCCTCCCTAGTGCTGTAGCTTGTAAGGCAATAGGCCATCTAGTACTTGTAGTTGGTAGAAGTACATCAACCATGTCTTGGTAGTGGGCTGATCTAAGCCAATGTACTAGTAGTACTTAAGAGTAGGTAGTTGGTATACACCATACCTCTCTGTACCTGATGGAGGTACTAGCTCATGTATATATACTATGCCAATGCAAAGAGAAAAGGCAGTTCAGTTTGCCACATTCAGAGTTTCAGAGCTGCTGCTGCAGCTCGAGCAGTGTGTGTGTGTGTGCTATGCTCACCTCTTCTTCTACCTCTAGCCATAGTGAGTGTGTGGGTGTGCTGGTAAGCTAATTGCTTACCTATGCAGGGCAGCAAGGGACCAACAAATATATGATAAAATGACATGCATCAATGAAATTTCTACCTTAGCTCCGATATATATAAACAAAAAAACAAAACATCGGAATCGGAAGCTAAGAAAGGCATACCAAAATTACTGTCAGCAGGACAGCATGGAATTGTATTTGAACAATTATCTTTTTCAGAACTCATCTTGTATCTACTCATATGAGCAAGGGAAATCCCTTCCAATGCTTCTCTGGTAGGCTGCAGAATTGTCATGAATGGATAGCCAAGAATTCCACAAGCAACACAGGTCAATGAACCAGAATCAATGCTCAAATCAAAAGGTAGGTCATCCTCATCATCTGTATCAGCATTGGCCTTGTCCACGGAAGCATATGTGTCAGATGATTTGCTATTCCCAGAAGTAAATTTAGTTTGTGCGCCTATCATATGTGCACTGCCATCAGAGTTATCTTTGGGGCCACGCTCACTAGATTCAATTCTGAAACCATCCTCAGACTTCTTCTCAGGAGCTTTTGAGCCAGAAGAACAGGAATGTAAAGAAGTCGAAGATGGTAACAAGTCAGGCTCCCAGAGCACAACATGACCAATTGATTTCTTTTCCAGGAAAGAACACAAAAGCTTGTTTTCGCTAATCATGTCCTGCAAGAATTCCTGCTTCACCAGCAGTTCTCTTTCTTCTTTTCTTCGATCTCTCAAGCGAGAAGTTCGAATTCCAGACAATACATTCGGGGTTCTGAAATTAAAATAAACTACCAGATTCAAAGTGCAGAAAACAATAAGCATTGGTGCTCTGATGGTTGTAACATGGTCACTAAAAAAACTAGGTAAGCATAAACAATTCAAATCAAAATCTATCTTTTTAATTTCTGAAAATATGTAGAAGCATCAATGCCAGATTTTTAGGGACTCTAGCAATACCAACTTCAGTGTGTACTCTAATCTCAGGAAGCTAGCAATTTCAGTGGCTTCCCTGTTTCCTAATTCTCTTTGTTTCCCTAATTCATAATATCTTCAATCCTGGTTTTTCTGTTGATGTTAACAAACAATGGAGGTCCAAATATTTCTTCATAGGGAATGACTGATAAATGCCCAAAAGAATCATTCTGAACCAAAACAAATTTAAGAGCAAATCTTATTCAATACACAATTACACAGGCCATCTTAAAGCACTAACTATATAGTGGTGTGTGTGTGTTTGCTGGAGCTCATTGATACTGTAAATTGAATCATATTACACGGACTAGCGGCTCATACTGTAATTCACTGAAGGCTGCTGTGATTGTAAACTACATTCAGGCACCCCATGCCTTCAACATGTACAAAACAAAGCACATAAGCCAGACATAACAAATAATCTAATCCTATAGCAACTAGCTACACCAGTCACCATGTCACGAACTTGCTATTTTGTTAGCAAGTACTTTTGCCTGAAAGCTTACCTGGTTATAAAAGAAACTGCTAGCAAGTACAGAAGCTGCTGATGAGAGAGCATCGGAAGATAATTCATCACAGCCCTTCGTACAGCAGCCTCTTTAGCAAATTTTAACCATTGCGGAGTTGCAAAGTTGGCAGCTTCACCACAATTAAATCCTACATTGTATGGGTCCAGACAATAAGAACTATTAGTCAAATGGACAGGCCAAAAAATAAATAAAGTAACGCATGTCCTGAACACCAGACGATGCTTGTGCAAACATGTAGATAGTCAAATCTAGTTGAACAAAACAAATTATTTGTTTGTATGCTTGTTTAGTCTTGTATATAAATGAAGCCCTCAAGTGGAAAGGATATCTATTAGGAAAAACTATGAATGTAATAACAGGCAACAAGGGTACAGTCAGCCATTAATCATTATTGAAACATTAAAGCGGTATTTCAGACTATCCTTAATTGCGCATGAGAACTATTCTGTCAACAGGCAAAACAAGCAATCTAGCTTCAGCGAGGAGAAGACCAGTAACATCAAATTGATCGTTATTATACATATCATCTCAAGCACCCTCAGTTTGTTATATGACTGATGAGGGGGCAGGGGAGCACTGATCCGTTAAGGATTGTCCATGAAACCATTGTTATTGTGTTTTCCAAATAGTTTCTTTATACTGCTCATACCATAAAAGTGAAAATCTAGCAAAGCTGGAACAAACATAGTTAGCAAATAGCATATCATAATCAATTCAATAAAGTCAAGCCAAAAAGGCATCATGAGTTCAATGGCATAACTAACCATGACTAAACCCAATGTGGTAGGCCCTTGGGAATGTCACCACAAACTCTCCAGGATATTGTACTAATCTGAAACAGTACACATCAGCAAAGAATTTCATAAGAATCTGATGTCTTAATATCATAAACATTTGACCCAATGGAAACACTGGCCATTTCAGAGCTTGTACCTACAGCAGGGCACACCACGGGCTACAAGAACATCTGGGGACATCAATGTTGTCTTCTCCCCAAGCACTGCTAGCGATGCTGCATGGATTAACAGTTGGAATTTATTGAACCTGCTAAACCGGAACCGAAACATGCAGATGACAAACATCAGAAAACGACAAATACCAAGGCGGTCAGGGTTTCCTCCATATCCATGCACACGGATAACTTCCTCTAGCTCTGAGGCTCGGTCCCCAGGGACTGCATACCATGTCTTGGGAGCACCGGTGTGAAGGAAGTTGAGACTGTGCAACTCATGATCTTCTACATGCCATGCAAACCAACTAAAGAGCATCCCGATGTACACCATTGGCGAGGTAACCCCAGGAACATCATCTGGCATGAATCGCGTGAGCGAACCAGGAGCCCGCGCAATCGCCTGGAGATTCCATGGGCCTCCAGACAGCCGCCACCCAGAACCTTTCTCCCCCTCTTCCACCTGATCGCTCTCTCGGCTCCGCTTCTTGTGCCGCCGGGACTGTTTTGGGGCGGCAAAGCCAGAGCCCGGAACGTCATTCGCATACTCGATATAGATAGGCCGGTCTGCCGACGCCTTCCAGAAGAGGGATTCCACCTCTAGTGGAGTTGGCTCGCGAAGCCCAGCGAGGTGGATCTTGGAGAAGGCGCGGGACTTGGCCTCAAACTGGTCGAGCGTGTACAGCTCGCCGCTCTGCCACACCTGCTTGAGCACCTGCGGAGGCGGGCGCCCACGCCGCGGCGTGCCAAGCTCCTGGTGACGGGTCGTGAACACAGCGGCGGGTTCCGACAGCGAGGGACCAGTGGTGGAGGAGCCGGAGGCAGTGGTGGGGTTGGCGGCGGCTTCAGAGGAGGAGACGAGGGAGCGGTTGATGTGCGCGAAGACGAAGCGGCGGGAGGGGCGCGGGTAGGGCGGGATGACCTTGCAGATGCCGTAGGCTGCGGCCTCGCGCTCCACGCGGGAGAGGAAGGCGATGGGGTCGGCGAACTCCGACTCCGTGGGGCGGTACTCCGGGGCGCGCGGGAGGCCGCGGAGCCACGCCGGCACCGTGGGTTCTCCGGAACCGCCCGTCGCCACCGCCGGCGGAGGCGACATCGGCGCTCTAGGGTTTTGGGAGCCGACGACGGGAAGCGGAGGTGTGGAGGAGCATTTGGGGGGGTTTGAGGAGGGGATGGGACTGTGGGCTGGGCGTGCTGGATTGCCTGCGGAGACGGTGGGATGTGTGTGGGCGTGAGAATCGCCGTGGGGGCCGATGCGCGCGGTGTGGAGTAGGCGGTTACCCGGCACGGAGGCGTGGTCGGCGGCACGTGGGAGGGGAACGCGTCCCAGTGCACTGTGCACAGCCCACAGGCGGTTGCTGCTGCCGTTTGGTTGCGCTGCTCGCCCGGCAAACCGTCTTCCTTTCTAGGAGTACGGAGTAGTTTGACATGTCAAAGGACAACCGTCTTCCTCCTTACGAAAAGACCGCGCGTCCGCGCCGGTTCGTGTCAGATGACGCCTCCTCCTACGAAGTTCCGTCATTCTCCGATGTTATTCTACTGTGTGACGACGACGGTACACTGCTAAGCCAAGAGCAAGTACGAGGTTTTGGATCTTGAAAAGGTGTGATTTTTTTTTTGGCATGATTACCTTTGCTAGCATGAATTTAAGGTTGTGTTTGCGAAATATAATCACAAATGAGGTGGGGTAGTGAAACGATGGTTTATCCACCGTATATCATTGAATGCTACCGCGTGCCACATGTATTCTATTTCGCAAACTCAAACACGCGATGAGTCGAGCATTCGTGTGCTCGCGCACCCCGCCGGAAGGGAAGAAGATGAGTCGTTCGAGGTCGGGGTTAGGGTTCCGAGAGGGGATTCATTCCCTAGCGGGTGTATAAGAGGGTTTGGAGGGGCATTATTCGCAACACGGCGGTGGTGCCAAGGCAAGACAACGGCGGAGCGAGGTGGCGGGGGCGTCGCCCGCTGCGGCAGTGGGAGATGGTGGTTGGGCGGGGTTGACACGGGGGCGTCGCGCACGGAGTAGTCGCCAACGCCCCTGTGGTTAGAGGAGGGGGTCGAGAGGCGATGGTTGGAGGTGGGTGGGGCGGAGCAGGGTGCCAGCGGTGATGGGAGGAGAGATGGGTGTCACGCCGGCAAGGAGGAAGAAGAGTCGCACGGTTCCTAATCGCACGACTTGTCGCGGGATATCTTCGTCCATACTATTTTTGTGACACTTCTTTAGTTATACATGGTCAATCTTTATAACCACAAATAGTTATGGAGCTTACGAGTTACGACCACTAGCAACATAACAATCCTTTAGATACATACCAATCAAACCTAGGCAGCGTGAGTTGTTGCTTGTGTAAACGTGAACAATATCAAGATTGTCGCTTCCCCCTCTATTCGCTTATGAGGGCTTGACATTGGGCTTAATAAAAACACATGCATGTATGTGGTCATCACATCCCATACGGTAGTCGCTTGTTTTTTGGGAGGGGGGAAGAGATAGGTTGCTTGCTTACTTGAGCACGGATCATACTTGGTTCAATACCATGTATATGTATAGACCACGTTGCAGTTGGGACGGCTTAACAACAATTCAAATTGATTAATTTTTTTTCTAAAAGTAGTCTCTTCTAAAATGATAGTACAAATTATAGATTACTCTACCTCCAATTAAATGGATGGAGTTTAAATATTGACATCAAGATGCATTCACAAAGAAGCAAAATATTATGGTACGTGATGGCATTCAAGAATAAATTTCAGCATAAAATGTTTTCATAAAACGTTTTCTTATAAGTTACTGATCTCGTTAAGTTCCATAATTTCCATATGAATTTAGGTATCGTTTGGCTACGCTCTACACGGTCCGGCTCCGCCTGCACTGCTACTGTGCACTCCTGTGCTTCACTGTTCGTTGCACTTTAGGCGCTCTAGCTTTGCTTGCCACTAGAGAGAGAGCCGGAGGAGCCAAGCTTAGGGTGCTCCAGCGGCTCCGTCATAGTAGTACAACAGTGCAGAGCCCGGAGCCCCCTCCAAATGCTCCTTAATGTCTGTAGTTCAGATGAAAAATTTGCAAGCTATGAAGTTATAATCTTCTTAGGTTACAGTGTTCAAAAAGGGTAAATTCCACCAATATCCTTGTAGCTACAACTTTTGGCATAAAGAGGTCTTCAAATAAAAAAGTGAGCTACAACATTTAGTCCTGCAACTTTCATATAAAATCTATCTTCATACCATGTCATATGAAAAATAAAATCTTTAGATATGCTACGAGGAAGTGAATCAAGCCATCCATTTATCCACTAGCTAGCACAACAAATATCCAAAAAAAAACAAATATTTTTATATGAGCCTGGATGGATGAAGATAAATAAAGTTATATATAATATGATGTTTGTAGAGCTTTTTTCACACAAGAAAAGTTACAGGATCTAATGGAGAAACAATTTATATAAAATTTGTAAAACTTTTCTATACAAATAAAAAATCTATAAACTATAAAGCTGTATATTCATCAATCTATAATGTTCATATAAATCTTATGATTTTTAAGGTAAAAAGAAAATTTTCACCACTTGAACCAGCGGCCAGGGAATTTTTGCCATTTGAATTGGCAAAATCTAAATATCGCCGACTCACCATTTTAAGCGACGATAGAAGTATGTTTTTTTTTTACAAATATGGTTGCAATAAGTTAAATTTGTATTTTACAAAATGGACATTGACACACCGATAAGTCGATTTCAACAGGTGACAATAAAAATCCATCTCAGCAAGCCTCAAAACATTGGCGAGCATGTGGAACACACAAAACAGAACAGAACCTATTCGAATCCAGCTAGCACTGGCGGCATCATCAGCAATATAAACTCAAATGTACTCAACGACGCGTACCCACTTCTAAAAGACTAACCCTACCCATACGTTAGGCCCACATATCAGTCGACAGTGGGTATTCTCCTACAACCATTCTCGTCTTGCCTCTACAATTTCTGCAGACAGCAACAATTATTGAGAAATTTTTAATTACTCCTCTATGTAATCTCCTTTCTCTCTCCTCCTCCGTCCCGTCGCTTCGATCCCCCGAGCTTTCGCTCACACCGGTCACCTCCGCCTCCTCCCGCTTCGCGCGCGAACGCATCTCCTTCTATCGCTCCAGCCTCCAGCACACATCCCCATGCCCTCGCGATTCTGATCCGGCCACAGCCATGCAGCACCGCTCGCCGGAGGCGGCGTCGGCCTCCGCCTCCCCGACGGCCGCGGCGGCGGCGGCCATGGCGCCGGGCCTCGGCGGGGTGGAGCCGGCCGTGACGCTCGACCAGGTCCCGCGCTGGAGCGACCCGGACCAGCGCATCTCCCCGCTGTTGCCCACTGCCGCCGGATCCGAGACCCCGCCCTCGTCCTTCCTCTCCTTCTCCGACCCGCTCACCGGGGACGACGCGGCCGCGGGGGCCGGGGGCCGTGGCGCGTCGCGGTTCCCCGTCGATCACGAGATCAACTCGAAGATCTACCTCTGGCGAGGCCACCCGTGGAGCCTCGAGGTCGACGCCGTCGTCAATTCCACCAACGAGGTCGGGATTCCTCTCCGCGGCTGCTTAGTTCTGAAATGCTTCGATTGAGATGCTGATGTCTAGTACTTGTGTGGTTGTGTAGAACTTGGACGAAGCTCATAGCAGTCCTGGGCTTCACGCTGCTACAGGGACGGGGCTCGCCGAGGAGTGCGCCACCTTGGTACTGTTTAATGCTGGTTTTGCTTCTTAATTTGGCTGCTAAGATGGGGATTGTTAGGTGGCTTTTCGTTTGTGAATGGTCTTGCAGGGTGGCTGCCGCACTGGGATGGCTAAGATGACAAATGCTTATGATCTTCCTGCCAGGTATATTTGATTAGTGACTGATGGCTTAAGAGGTTGCATCAGATTGCATACTATTGATGGGTTTTGTAGTGTTCACCAACAACATTGTTTTCTGGAAATTATAACGCAGAATAAGCCCCTTTAGGTGATACAGGAGCCCCCACCCCCACAAACAAAGGTCCTGGTATTGCTCATTTCAAATAGTATGGATTTTGGGCACGTTTTTTATGAGTTACAACTACAACTTGACACTGAACATCTTAGTTGTTATGGTTAGCTAGATTTATTCGTGTCTACCAAAATTTTGACGCGAGATCTAGTCTTGTTTACAAAACACACAAGGCACACTTATCGCAGACAGAGTGAGGGAAATTTGTGTCATTTTCCCCTACGTCGATCAGTAGCTTGGTTGTAAAAGAACCATGCATATGCAATGCACATATTATATTATAGGTGCATCTGTGGTGACTATATAGGAGTGAAATAAGCGATCATAGTGTTGTAACTTATAACTTAGGTGAGGTGATGGTAATTTCGGAGCACGCTTTTTTCTTATTAATTGTTTGAGAAAGATAGGAACCATTATATGCTTTGACCTTTATACAATAGGGCTATTATTTTCTTCATGGCATATGCTTAAGTAGTTAAGTTTATTCCTGTAAGACCTATTGCGGGTTACTATGGCTGACTATTTTGAACTCATCAAATTCATTTGTTTGAACCTTGAGAATCATTTATTTTAAACATATCACAGCAGAAATTTAGTGCTCTTTGTTAAGGCTCAAAAGTTAGTTATCTGGTTATGTAGGAAGGTCATCCATACCGTGGGCCCAAAATATGCTGTAAAGTATCACACAGCTGCAGAGAATGCGCTTAGCCACTGCTACAGGTCTTGTCTAGAACTGCTCATTGAGAATGGCCTTGAAAGGTACTTATTATGAAAAGGGGTATTTAGAAGTTTAGATTCCATTTCTAATGCTAGGTTTCACATTGAATGTTCTTCAACTTTTGCAAGTAATTTATTCTGCCTTTGATGTGGTTAGCATTGCTACTGGCTGCATTTACACAGAAGCCAAGAATTATCCTCGTGAACCAGCTGCTCATGTGGCAATAAGTGAGTTCGCTGATTTGCTTTTGCTTTTGTACAGTTTTACTATGGATGGGATTTGAAACATGATTTATTTTGTACAATGATTTACCTACTCCACGTTTGGTTTTTCATGTACTATATTCTTCGGTTGAGATTGAG